CTCCACCGGACTGAGTCCAGTACAGCTAGATGGTGCCCGGCTACCACCACTGACTGCTCTGACCAGGATCACAACAGAGGGTTCTGGACAGAGCTGGATAAGGATATAAAACAAAATTCTAACACACACAAAAAAAAAGACCAGATGTACTGGCCTAAAGGAGACTGGAGAAACCCTGAAGAGTATGGCCCCCAGGCACCTTTTTAGCTCAGTGGTGAAGTCACTTCCAAGGTTCACCGTTCAGCCAGGGATTGGACAGCCGCATAAAACAAAATGAGACTAATGAGGCACAGCAGTCCAGGGACAAGGGCTAGAAGGCAGAAGGGGACAGGAAAACTGGTGATAGGGAACCAAGGTTGAGTAAGTACAGTTTTGATGTGTAGTGAGGTTGTTAACCATTGTCACAGGGCAACATGTGTACTGTTTAATGAGAAACTATTTTGTTCAGTAAACCTTCATCTAAAGTGAGAATAGGAGCACAATTGGAAGAGTGTAGTCGATGTCACTGAACTGTGCATATAGAAATTTTTGAAATGGTGTATCTTTGGCTATGTGTATTTTCACCAAAATAAAAAGGTTGAGAACTTAGAGGGCTGATATGTTGTGGGGTTGTTAACCAATGTCATAAAACAATATGTGTACTACTGTTTCATGAGAAACTATTTGTTCTGTAAGCCTTCACATGAAGTACAATAAAAAAAAAGAAAAACTGATCAGGGACCTATACGTAAGAATTTAAATAGAAAAATTCCTTGAAGAAAGCAAAAAGGTAATGCTTAGGGACTGAGTTTTTAATAATGGATTATTAGATGTGACACCAAAATCACAAGCGACAAAAGACAAAATAGACTCATGGAATTCAGTTCCTTGATTTGGAGGTTTAAGGTCACGGTTTTATGGGACATCCCACTTAACTGGACTAATAACATGTTTAGTGCTTCTGTTCTACCTCCTAGTTCACTGCATAGTACCAGGGGTCTTAAAAGCTTGCAAGCAGCCATCCAAGGCAAAACAATTAGTCTCTATTCTCTGGAGCAACAGAGAAAGGAAGAGAGTCAGGAATAGGATGAAGAAATGGAATGTGTCCCTAACCGCCTCCATGAACAACTGCCTCCTTTGCCATGAGACAAGAAGAACTGGATGGAGCCTGGCTACCATCACTGAACATTTTGGTCAAAGATTCTAGAAGAATCCTGATCAAAAAGGGGGAAATGGAGAACATGATTTCAAATTCTTATGGACTCCAGACTTCCTAGAGCAATGAGGGTTGGATGAAGCCCTGAAACTACTGCCCTGAGATAATCTTTAAATCTTAAACCAAAAATATTCCCTGAAGTCCTCTTAAAACCAAATCATAGTTTAGCTTAACGAGTAAATAATGCCTGCCTTAAGCTTTATGCTCTTTTGAGAACTATTTATATGGATGGGATCAAATTGACAGCAGCAACTCAAAACATTAGCTAGGAACCTTAGGGGGCAGTGAATTTATTTTAATGGGAGAAGAACAACTCAGAAAAGGAGGGTGAGAATGGTTGGACAACTTGAAGAATGTAACCAATGTCACTGAACTGTACACGTAGAACTGTTGAATCTGTGTTATGTTTTGCTGTGCATATTCTAAACAAAAAAATAAATCATTAAAAAAGACAAAATAGATAAATAGAACTTCATCAAAATTAAAACTTTTGTTCACTAAAGGACTTTATCAACAAAGTGAAGAGACAATCTCCACAGTGGGAGAGAGATTTTAGGAACCATACATCTGACAAGAGTTAATGTCCAAAATATATAAAAAACTTCTGCAATTTAACATTAAAAAAAAAAAAACCAAGAAAGAGAAACAACCCAGTTAAAAAATAGGCAAAGGCCTTGAACAGACATTTCACCGAAAAAGATACAAATGACCAACAAGCACATGAAAAAATGCTAAACATCACTGGTCACTATTGTCATTTTTGTCATGTGCCATCAAGTCTATTTCAACTCACAGCAACCCCGTGTTACAAAGAAGAACTGTCCCAGAAGATTTTCTAGCCTTTAATCTTTACAGGAGCAAATCGCCAGGTCTTTTCTCCCGTGGAGCGGCTGGTGGGTTTGAACCACCGACCTTTCAGTTAGCAGCTGAGCCCTCAACCATTGTGCCACCAGGGCTCCTTTACTGCTCATAAGGGAAATACAAATCAACACCACAATAAGACACCAAGTCACATCCACTATGATCGCTATTACAAAAGAAAATGGAAAACAACAGGTGTTTGTGAGGATGTAGAGAAATTGGAAACCTCACACATCACTCATGGGATTGTAAAATGGTACAGCAGCTGTGGAAAATAATTTGGCAACTCCTCAAAAAGTTAAACATAGAAGTACCATATGATCCAGTAATACTACTCCTAGGTATACACCCAAAAGAGTTGAAAGCTGGAGCACAGATACTTGTACAACAATGTTCACTACAGTACTATCACAATAGTCAAAAGGTGTGAACAGCTTAAATGTCCATCAACAGACAAATGGATAAACAACATGTACATATATACAGCAGAACATTACTCAATCCTAAAGAGAAATGAAGTCCTGATACATGCTACATCATGGAAGAACCTTGAAGACATTATGCTGAGTGAAGTAAGTCAGTTACAAAACGACAAATATCATACGATCCTACTTATATGAAATAGGCAAATGTATACAGATCAAAGTTTATTAGTGTTTACCAGGGGTAGGTGGGAGAGGGAAAGAGGAGTCATTGCTTAGGGGGTACTGAGTTTCTGTTAATTGTGATGGAGTAACTTGTAAAAGGATAGTGGTGATGGGTGCACAACATAATGAACGTAATCAATGTCACTGAATTATACGTGTAAAAATTATTGAATGAATTCACAAATGTTGATATATATAGCTTTACCACAATAAAAAAAGACTAGACACATAACAACTATATGCAGTGTGTGATCTTAAATTGAATCCTAGACTTGGAGGAAAGAGAAAAAAAACCTTACTATAAACAGCATTATTTGGTCAATCGACGAAATAAGAATATGGACTGTGGATAAGATTTTTTAAAAAAAAGGAATAACTGAATTTCCTGGAACAAATACCTGCTCATTGTTTATCAGGAGCCATGGTAGCATAGTGGTTAAGCACTTGGCCGCTAACCAAAATGTCAGCTGTTCGAACCAGCAGCTCCGTGGGACAAAGATGTGGCAGTCTGCTTCCATAAAGATTACAGCCTTGGAAACCCCATGGGGCAGTTCTAATCTGTCCTATACAGTTGCTATAAGTCAGAAATAACTCAACAGCAACAGGTTTGCTTTGCATTGTTTATCATTACTTCTTGTATTTCTGTGTTGCCATTTCAAATTATTTTTCTTCTGCCTTAAAAAAACCCTTTGATATTTCTATACTGTAGGTCTGCTAACATCAGGTTCTCATTTTTTGTTTTTCTAGATATGTCTTCATTCCACTTGCTTTTGAATGATGTTTTCACTGAATACAGAGTTCAGGGCTGGCAATTTCTTTCATTTGGCACCTTAAAGAAATCATTTCATTGCTAACTCACTTCCATCATTTCAATTGTCAAGTGAGTTGTCAGGGTTATTGTTGTTCCTTTGAAAGTAAAGCTGTTTTTTTCTCTAGACACTTTAAGATTTTCTCTTTGTCTTTGGTCTTTAGAAATTTGACTATGATATGCCTAATTGTGGTTTTCTTTATATTTATTTTGCTTAGGATTCAGGAAGTGTCTTCAATATGTAGCTTACATCACTTTTAGAAAATGCTCAGCTAGTATCTCTTCAAAAACAGCTTCTGACCTATTCTCCTTTTTCTTTCCTTCCTGGACTCTAATTACACATATGGTAGAACTTTTCACTGTGATTTACCTGTTTTCACTTTTTTGTACATACTTTGTACATATTGTGTGTGTGTGTATTCAGCTCTCATAACTGTAGATAGCCTTGAAAAAAAGACGAGAAGGTAAAGCACATTCTTTTTCTATTTACCTGTGTTTTGGTTTATTGCAGATCTTGGAGGAGAACCTGTTTCTTCAGATTCTTCTGATGAGTGTGCTAGGAAGTCATGAAGCTTCTGCACCAATGTATTCAACTTGCTTTCACTATAAAAACAAAAATTTTAAGAACTTCCTTAATTAGACTGCCATGTATTTAATTAAATGTAAAGCATTAACAAACTGAAAGGATATCTGTACTATAAATCTTTTGAAAGTATACATATTGAAAGGGAAAAAATTAAAGGAAATAAATTTTATTTCCCTGAGAAGATGAAAACTTGAGTAACATAACCTACTTATACACTTACCTAAGATCAAAATATAACTTAAGGAAAATGTTGATATTACTCCATAAATACTTCCAAAGTACTGAGATTTTTTTCAGTATGGTTTATCTGATGTGTTCATACACACATAAAAATTTACTTTGCATTAAATTATTTAAAATGTGCTACAAAATACCACCATTAACCTAATTCTTAAGAAACAATATACATACCTACCATAAGAGTGTAAAAAGAAATTTTAGTGGGATAAAAAGGTAAAAGAGCATTTATTCATACTTGAATTAGACCAATCCTTACTCCACAATCAATAGCTGACTTTTGTACATAACTTATCATATTAGCATTGTGCACTTTGGTTATTACTTCCTCTTACTCATACGTAGCATTTAAGTGAAAAGGCTTTAGACACCAAAATATGTAAGTAGACCTTTTATTTAAGAAAGATTTAACCTCACCACCACCCCCAAAAAAGTGAGGCTGAGATATTTGCTTTGCATCGTTTTGTAAAATAAAAGTAATTTATCAAATATATTTACTAAGCACTCTGGGATAGATTTCAGCAGTGTTTGTTACTCTATCTCCCACTTGGAACAGAATATTATCTAACTAACTGACATAAAGATGAATAAAACATACAACACCCAAGAAAATATTTGTGTAATTAAATTATTATGGTATAAACTGTTAAACTATATAAAAGGTATATCTGTAATCCAACTGAATTATAAAGAGTTAAAACTTTAAAACACAGAAAGTAAAATTTTCCCCAATTCTAATAATAGAAAGATTTTCTAAACTTAAAAGCAAGAGGAAAGATAAATTGGACTTCATCAGAATTAACAACTTTTGTGCATCAGAGGACACCAGTAAGAAACTGAAAAGACAACATGCAGAATGAGAGAATATACTTGAAAATCATTATCTAATAAGGATTTAATATCCAAAATATATATAAAGAACTCTTAAAATTCAACAAGAAAAAAATAACCCAATTTAAAAATGGGAAAAGCAAGAGACAGAAAGGGCCACATGTCAGACTTCATCAGCCTGAGACCAGAAGAACTGGATGGTGCCCGGCTACCACCAATGACCGCCCTGACAGGGAACACAACAGAGTCCCTAATGGAGCAGGGGAAAGGTGGGATGCAGAACTCAAATTCTAGTAAAAAGACCAGACTTAATGGTCTGACTGAGACTGGAGAAACCCCAGAAAGCATGGCCCCCAGACTCTCTGTCAAGCCAGAACTAAAACAATTCCTGAGGCCAACTCTTCAGACAAAGATTGGACTTGACTGTGGAACATAAAACGATACTCGTGAAGAGTGTGCTTGTTAGCTCAAGTAGATCCATGAGACCAAATGGGCAGCTTCTGTCCGGAGGTGAGATGAGAAGGTAGAGAGGGTTAGAAGCTGGTTGAATGGACACGGGAAATCAGGGGTAGAAAGGAAGAGTGTGCTGTCACAGTATAGGGAGAGCAATTAGGGTCACATAACAACAGACGTATAAATTTTTGTATGAAAGATTAACTTGAATTGTACACTTTCACTTAAACTACAATTAAAAAAAAATAAAAATGGGCAAAGGACCTGAATACACATTTACCCAAAGAAGATATAGAAATGGCCAATAGTAAATAAAAAGATACTCAACATCCTTAGTCATTACCAGTTGCCATCGAGTTGATTCTGACTCATGGTGCCCAATGACTCCCATTAGTCATTAGGGAAATGCAAATCAAAACCACAATGAGATACCATTTCACAGTTTTACTCTGCAACAAATGGGGTCACCATGAGTCTGAATCAACTTGACGGCAATGGGTTTGATTTTTGTTAGGATGGCTATAATTTTAAAAGAAAGAAAAAAAGAAAAGACGAAGTGTCTGTGAGGATGTAGAGCAAGTGGAATCCACATACATTTTTGGTGAAAATGTAAAACGGTACAGCTGTTGTAGAAAACAAATTTTGGCAGTTCCTCAAATGATTAAACACAGAGTTTCCATATGATCCAGCAATTCCACTCCTTGATATATACCTGATATATACCCAAGAAAAATGAACATATACTCACAAAAAAAACTGTACACAAATGCTGATACAAACCTTATTCATAATAGCCAAAATCTGGAAAAAACCCAAATGTCCCACAACTGATGAATGGATAAACAAAATGTGGTACATCTATACAATGGAAAAACACATACCAATAAAAAGAAAAACGAAATATTGATACATGCTACAACATGAACCATAAAAACATTATGCTAAATGAAAAAAGGCAGACAAAAACGGACACATATTGTGATTCCACTTATATATATGAAATATCCAGAACAGACAAATTTATTAGTAGATTAGAGTTTTCCAGAAGATGGGGGAAGGATGAAATTCAGAAGTAAGGGTATCTTTTTAGGGTGATGAAAATGTTCTAGATTTAGACAGTGGTGATGGTTACACAACACTGTGAACATACTAAAAACTACTGAATTATATCCTTTAAAATGGTTAAAATCATGTTATGTGAAATTTATCTCAACAAAAAAATACATAAAGAAAATGAAGAAGATGCATACTTATCTAACTACCAAAAAAAAAAAAAAAAAAAACCCTTGGGCATTTACCTCCAAAAAAAAAAAAAATCAACAACCAAAATTTGAAAGGCAAGTAATCCTAAAACTTTACATGAAATAAAAAAAGTTGAACATTGTATACAGAAAACAATAAATTGCTAATAGATAAGTGAACAAAGGAGAGAAAAGGTTTTAAAGAAAAGGAATGCAGCTCGTTAACCAAAAAATGGGAGAAAAAGCAGCCTCACTAAAAATCATCAAGATGCAAATTAAAATGACGTGAATCAGGTCGCAGCTGTGTCAGGCGTTCTTAGGCCAGGCACCACCTCATTCCTTCAGGGTGTTGGGAAACCAAGGCCAGTAGCACCTCTGAACAATTTTCTTGTGTTTAGTTAGGAAGAATCCAATATATTCAGTAAAGGAAAAAGGCATGAGAAGTAACAGACATATTGAAACTAGAGAGTATGTGTGGGTTTTTTGCTTGGTTGATTGTTTCATTTTGGTGGAGAGTATTGTTCTACAAATTTTTGAAACAAACTTTGCCTCCAGAATAAAGATGCCAAGAAAGTATGATTTCTACCCTTGTGGCATAATTCTTCTTTTGGAAAAGAGTCAGACGTACAAAAATAATTATCAACAGGTCACTTGGTGTCCTAAATCTTAAGTTAGAAAATGGAACCTGAGGAAAAGATGTTATATGTCAGTCCACGGCACATACAATTCTTGGAATTAAACTTAAAAAAAAAGGAATGAAAGATGTCATTCTATATCGTGTCCCATCCATGGATCACCATACCAACCAGTTATCCTCAGAGAGAAAAGTTGTTTTCTATAAACAGAAGTATAGCAAACCTGCAGATTTACGATTGTTCCCTTCATTCCCAGAATTTACAGTAATCAAATGGCAAAGCAACCTATTTCATGAATTCATGCTGTGAGTGATCAAGCCCAAGACTACGGATATATAAGTGCAATCTATCAATACTACCATTAGACGGCAAAAATAAAAAAAGGAGAATATGATCCGTAGGACCTTTTTATTCCATGAAGAACAGCACTTGTAGGCATAGACGTGTATATATTATACGATAAATTATAAGACAAAGTAGAAGCCCAATGGTGGAAAAAAATTAATACTTAAAAAAATGTTGCCATTCATTTCAAAACTCTTCACTATTTGAGGGTACATGTGATTTCTGGAAATTACCGAATGTCACCCACTTCAAGTCAAATATGGAGAATAATGCAAGATGATCAAGTTGGGTAAAACTAGTTACTGCCAAACCCAAAGTATTCCTGAAGATTTGTTTTCTTGGGTGACTTATAAACTACTTACAAAAGGATAGTCCTCAAAATGTCCTCAGGAAGGACAGCATCATTGGTATCAGTATGGCCTCCCCCGGTGGCTACTTAGATGGAAAACACTTATTTGCATACATGAGTTTTGACGTCAGTTTTAAAAATCTGTCTCATTTCTAAGAGTCACTTTAGAGACAGTTCTTAGACATGTGTATGTCCTATTTCTGGAAACAGTATTTTAAACACATCATACCAAGTATTTAAAGAGTAGAACTCATCAATACTTTTGTAAATTGAAGAATCTTTTCTGAAGGCAAAACAGCATATTAACTTACCAGTTTTATAATTATGAACTATTAGTTTTTTAATTAAATCTAAATATATTATCACTCTCTTCCTCCTTCCCTCTACCAAAACGAGATGCTGATTCAACCAGTACTACATGTTACTTAATTTTAGGGACTAAGTCCTTAAAAGGATCTTTGAGAAGTGGTGTACTCAACCTTCACACTCACAGTTGCATAATTACAACATAAGCATGATGCAGCTGACATCCCATGAGATCTGACTTGCCTATATACAAAGTAGATCCCAAAAAAAAAAAATCTAAATTCTCAAATGTAAGCTGGCCGAATCATGAATGACTGGATTTCAGACACGTTTTAAGTCCTAAGGGAACCTCGGTGGCACAAACGGTTAAGCGCTCTACTACTGGCCTTCGAAAGGTTGGCAGTTTGGACCCACCCAGATGCTATCTGGGAATACAGACCTGGCGATCTTCTTCTAAAAGGTCACAGCCTTGAAAACCCCATGGAGCAGTTTTACATTGCACGTATGGGGTCGGCATGAGTCGGAATCGACTCAACAGCAAGTAATCACAACAGCAACGTTTAACTCCTAATGCCAATGTTTTAAACTATGGGTCATATTCTCTCTCCTGAATGTTTTAC